CAATAAGTTATAAAAATCAAAATATAATTTTAAATATATGAAATTTATATTAGGACAAATTAATAAATTAACTAGTTAAGTTAGAAGTTGTTTAAAAAAAAAAGAAACTCGTTAAGCTGGAAGTTATTTTTGAAAATAAAAGTAACTCGTTAAATAACTTAGTTAAAAGTAACTTAACTTTTTAACTTAACTTAAACTTTTTAACTCGTTAATGCCCAGCCTTGCAAATTTGACGTTACCTATTCATTTTTTTTACATATATTAGGTATTTAATTTTTGATGACTAATCATTGTTCTAAACAAATATAGAAGTTGAATGTCTCATTAAATCAGATTCCTTGAAAATTTCAGCGCAGTAGCATACTCCTTTTGTTTTCTTAGCATTTTAGCTCACGCTTAACATACAGTAGGTAGGTGTACCTACTACATAGTCAAAACACATTCATGCAAAATCACCTTTTACAAAAATAATAGAGGATATTAATAATTCTATAACTTTAATACACAAATTTGATTAAATATTGCTAACTAAATATCCATTTTTATTTTAAAGTCAAATACAAATTAAAATATTTCAAACCCTYAAGAACCTTATTTTCAATTATTTAGTATTGTGTATGTTGCACACGAGTCAGAGAATTTAAAATGTATACTATGATTAATTTTATGTTATCAAGTTTAATTTATTTATATTAAATGTAGGTAATAGAAAATTGTATTTAAGATTTTGAAAAAATGTGTTGATAATTTCTGCAGTGATGGTATACATTTACTAGCATCACCACATACAATTAGTAGTTATTCAGAACCGAGGTTATGAAATGTTAAACAAGGGGATGATGTTCTTACAATTTTTTTGAATACACCTTAGTTTATAATTAGTAAACATGGTCACTTGTTAAAGAGATACAATTTTCGGGAAATTTGGATGCCTTTAATATGTTTGTACATTTTTATACTCATATAATATGCATAGGCGTGGAATAATGTTTCAAAGCTTAAAATCATACTCAGACAACCATCACCAATGTGTAAGACATTCCATCTGGAAGAAATCAAGCTGTATGCCGACGTGCCCAGATTTGGCCGGCCGTTTTTTGAGGTGAGTTATTACCGATAAAGTATAAGAATAGGTACTTAGGACCCAAGGATCTGTTTAATTCAAATTTATTTATTTATTTTATTTGTTTCCAAGCAAAAACTACCACCTTATCTGATTCACAACACCACAGCAGCCATTTCATGGAGACCGAGTACAAAGAGCTACAATGAAATGCAATTTTCGCATAAACCAGATACGAATAACAAGGTATACATAKATACCTACGATAATATTATATTTAAATAACATTTGATTTGTATCTGTTTTAGGCTCACTGTATTGGATATGTAGTTGAACAAGTGCCAAACAATTATGACAGTTCAAAAATAATGTAAAATGAGAACCTTAAAATATGATTTGCGTCAACAAGACAACAATATAACCATAAATACATTATTTTTAACACAAGAACAACAATAATAAAAACTTACACATTTAAATTTATTGCAAAAGTATTATTACGAGATAATAATAATGATTGTACATTTTAAATTATTACAGAAAAAAAATATATATTAACTTATATAATATCATAATAAGAGTTTCTATGATAAATGACTAAATTATTATAAGTAAAAAGAATTGTAAAATAATAAGTTACTATCTTATATCATCTTTAAAATATAGCTCCATTTTAGATACAAGACACATCAGAATTTTTATTTAACATCCTAAAATAAAATAAATTGAAGAGTACTTTCATATTATCTTACTTTTTCTGAAAAAATTTAACACAAAAAAATTCACAAGAACAGATTAAAAAATCATTAATTTTTATGGCTCTTCAAATATATGTTYGAGATTAAAAATCCCTCAGACTTGCAATTATAAATTCGTCAATAATTTAATAAAAATTGCTTACACGATCATCAAATGAGCTTTAAGATGTATCACAGGTTTATCACTTGAAAAAAAATATCTGTAGTATTTTATTAAATTAAAATTCTAACATTGTAACAGTTGATTAGAAGAAAATTGTATTTCAAATAAACAGATATGTATAAATAAAACTCACATTTTACTTGATTATCTGGAGTTATTGGAGATGGGGCGAACTCAAGATAACTGTATTTAAATCAACTACAAATAGAACCAATACTTAAAGAAGACAATTTTTCATTTATCCATTATGGACACAATATACTGTTATGATAAAATATATATAAAAAGATAATACAGGAGTTTGAGTTTGGTCTTTTAAAATTTCCAATAATTATAATATTAATTTTAGTAGTTTTATTTGAAAACTATRGTCAATTTCTATTATTCATAGTAAACTTTATCTGGTATCCGGTTAATACTGATAAAATAATACTCTTGTAACTGTAAGTACGTCAAGAAATTAAAGCACGAGGTTGAAATGTAGTTAAAATAAATATCTTATATACACATACGAAAATAACATTATGCGAGGACTGTGAAGAACATAATAATTAAGACTGGTTTAGGATGTTGAATATGTTTGACGTCCAGCTAACTCTAATAAATATCTATCTGGGTGATCTAACCATTCTTTAGATGTCATTTTTAATTTTCTGGTCTTCTCCGCCTCTTTGATTTGCCAATTTTTTATATCCAATTGCACTTCTCTAAAATATAAAAAATGTATCATATTAAATTAACATAATAACTAATATATATGAAAATTTATTTATTTATTATCTATGGAATGTTTAGTCACTTATCAGACAGTTAAAAGATACTAAATGAACTTATTGACAAGTACAAAACTTCTTAAAAAAATTGTCATAAATACCTATTTTTTGGTGAACCACATCCCCATACTTCAATGCTTTCTAACTTGTATGGTATGCCACAGTGTACTATATGTTGAAATGAGTCATCAACTTCAATTGATGGTTTTCTTGGGTCATTACCAGCTCTGATGCCCTTTGGGTATCCACGTATGGATGTATTTAAATACATAGATTTTGGACCACCTTAAAAAAATTGAATGGTATTATAAAGAATTTTAATTCTTAAGTTACTGTGATACTTACGATTGATTACTTTGTAATTTGGTAATAATTGCAAAATTATGGTGTCGTCTCCACCCCAATACTGGTGTGACTCCCGCCATTCAGACGTACCTCCCATACAAAATAAGACCCCTTCATTACCTCGCAAAAATGTTAATGTTGGCCCCCGATAACTCAGCACATGGTGTAAAAACCTATAAAAAGGATTTTATATTTAAATCATTTTGTAAGAGCAGCATACAAACGTCATATTTTAACGTTGTATGTTTAGCACAATGCGAAAAACAGATACATTTCGAAACAGGAATAAAATATTCATAATAGTTTACATGGAAATAATTACCTATTACTTCCGATACCGTGTTGATTGCTGTTGTACAATAGTGTCCAATGTGATGGACAAGAATAGTCCAACTGTAATAGAAATATAAAACATAAAAGCTCGGATGCTTTCAGCTTGTTTTCTATTACCAATTTAATAATAATTAGGTACCCATTATTGCCTACAACTGCCTAGCTACTAATTACACACACTTGATTCAATTTATTATTCCTATTGGCATAGCCATTAATGACGGATATTAGGTTCGTTGGGTAATGATATCATGTAAAGTTTATGCATTCTCGTTTAATTAATGTTGTCTTCTGTCTTCGCAGTTCAACACCTACTGAGGGGCTTCAGCCTATTATTATTTATTAGCATTTTATACTTCAGCAATTGCCAATAAAAAAAAAAATTATTTATAGGCTGTTTAAAATTTACTTTTGTTTTCTTTTTCATTCAACAAGCACCATTGTTCTGTAAAAATATACTCTAGAGTAAACGTGTTATAATCCAGTACTGAATGATAATATCATTATCAAAAAATTTATTTTTGTCCRCTACATGAAATAATATTTTCTAGTTTATGACGAAATTGAAGTGAAATGACTGAAATGTAAACATCTACAGAAAATATCTTCCAAATTGCAATCTACTCTCGGAATACTTTTTAATTAATACAATATGGTTATCTGATAAAAATTACTCAAGTCGCCTTGAAATAGGTAAACATGCTGATTCATGTGTGCTAATTCGTAATAACTCCCAACAAACACAATAGAATACACGAATGACCCACATTGGGCGAAATATGTTTTCGCTATTTGTTMATTTGTTTATTTATAAAACTACGATCGTCCTCATYTTCACAACCCATTAATACAATCAATCAAACAACAACAAWAAAGATTAAAAAAAGTATTATACATATTATAATAAAATACAAAAAATAGTAAAAACTTGAACATTTAATTGGCAAACAAACATGATTATTTAGCCACATCCCTTTGACTAATTTATTACGTTTTCACTTTTAAAATTATTCTCAGTCATAAAATACGTAGCATTTACCGAGATACAATAAAAACAATAMTAACAACAAAATAAAACAATACAGTCAATAATTGTGAAAAATATCCGTCTAATTACGAGTAGTAATAGATACAATTTACATTAGGAAGGCATGTACAATATAAAAATATCGTAACCAAAATATGTTGTTTTTACACACGTGCGTGTTTAGGTAAAATAAGCTATTTATAAATTAAAAGATCGTTGCATAGTATTTAGGTACAAAACTTCGAGACCGAAATATTACAGTTATTGGACCGTAAGGATAAGTGCCAAAATAAATTTTAAACTTCAAACATGAAACTAATCAGGTAACAAAACCATCAAATGTTTTTAAAAATACGAGTTTTCCAAAGAATCATGTTTTTAAATATATTTARAATAATGTATGGCTACTTACCTATATTGTTTTAAATTTTTTTAATTCTATTGGAATACATTAAAAAAAAAAATCCCGATAGATAACAAAGATCATTAATTTTATACTACATAGATATTATGAACTCTTTGGTGCAAGATTGCGATGTGTTGTGATATATTAAATTAATGAAATATAAGTTTTTCAGTAGCACGTGTATGATTGTATTCATAAATATTCATAAATATAAACATCCGTATTTTGTTCAAGATTACGATGATGTAACATATTCCTATATTATTATAGTTTATCATCCAAACATTTGCTGGTTTAATCGTAACATTATTTGAAACTTAGAGCAACAAAGAATAATCAATACCTAAACATCACCATACACGGCATAGGTTACAAAATATGTTGTATGGCATTTTCAAAAATATTTTTACGCTAAAAAGCATGTTTCTTTGCTAACTATCTAAGTATCTACTATAAAAATCAATAATATTAAATTATTATATTTGTTTCGTTTATTTGTATTATTTTACGTTTTTTGCTTTCCTATTGGCTACTTTAAGCTGAAAAATGTCTATAATACTTATACGCTATTCGGCTATTGGCACTAAATTATTTATTAAATAAATTGAAAATCATGATCGGAAAATTATTTATGTATGATTTTAATATATTTATTTATCAAGGACAATCGACATTGACCTTAACCGCTCAATAGTATCATGGTCACATTTACAACTGGCTATAATAACACGTTTCTTTATTTGAAAAATAAATATTTATTTTTAACATAAAGTTGAAAAATCTTTTACGGTATTTTTTTTTTGTTTGTTTATATGTATATACCTAAGTAGGTACAAAAGAATTACCGTCTAATTAAGAATATTAAGAGTAAATACATAGGGATATGTGCGTATTATTACGAAATAGGATTAATAAAAAGTTCACAGGATGATAAATCTTAAAATCTCAGAATCATATTACATTTGTAGTCTGTAGACATATGCAAAATCCATATTTAGAATTCAGAAGAATTAATTTTGARTTTTTAGCTTTAGTGAATTTTAAATCATAATTAAAAAAACAAAAAAATAAACATGAATGATTTTCTTGCTTTAATAATACATATTATTACATTGTAAATTATAAAATTAAGAGTATATTGATCAAAAATAAGCTTTAATATTAGGATTATTATTTAGGGTAGGTATCAAAAGATTTTATTGATATTATTATGTTTAAGTAAATTATTATCATTTTATAATGAAAAAAAAAATAGTTTCAAAAAGTTTATAACTTATACTTGAATAAAAATATCAATAAAAGATCTGAGATGCTCAAGAATCTAGATTATAATTTTACCTTTTAATATTATGACAGGTAATTTACTCTAATTTAAGAATTTACATGGTAAAATAAATTATTGAGAACGTAAGATTTGTTTTGAACATTTGTAAAACAAAGACAATACATGTATTCTTAAGTTATTTTTCAACAAATTACTGAATAGTATGAATCGTTTATTAGTAGATTATCGTTTATTAGTAGATTAGTAGTTTATCGTAGATTAGTCGTAAACCTATTATTTTTTACATAGCATACAATTTTTGTACCTGTGGGCTGCAATCTTATCAAAAAACTCAAATAGAAACTAGTAAATTAAACTTTAGTAGTAATAATAAGAATTAATTGGATAATTCAACAATTATAACAATAATAAATTGGGTTATTAAAAAATCATAATATAACTTACACTCACAAATATCTATAAAAACGAGAATGTAATAAACTTTAATATGAAATTTTATCAAGAATAATTTTTAAATTGAACAACACTTGCTTCAATATATAAAGATTAAAAAAAATTAATTTAAGTATATATAATATTATTTATGTATTTAATATAAATAATGTAAGTTAAACCGACCTAACAGAAAAATTAGTAATGAAGGCGGCAAAATAATAATTGTATTATTTTCTTCATATTTTTACAGTTACTAAAACTGGTTTTAAAAGTAGGGTTGTCAACTATCAGTATCTAAAGTATCTTTGTTTGAACATAGAATGTTATGTTTATTAATTCTGATTCAATATTAAACTGGTTAATACTAAATATATGGTGAAATTGAAATACTACTTTCACGCAATTTACAAAGTGTTTACACTTCTTAAAGAAAAAAATATCTTAAAACAAATGCATTTAAACTCATTGAACTAATAAAAATAATTTTTTAATAAATTATTATTTGTTAGTGAAAACATAAATTATTTTTTCAATCATCCAATGTTGATAGAATACAATATTTTCTATGGAAAAATATACTATAAGTAGTGTACTAATATTTACATATAATATAAATGATGTGCTCTAATAAGATTATTAGAAATAAAAATCAACACTAGATGATAATGTTAACTAAACTTAACCTAACCAGTATCTACATTTATTCATTATTTGGTATTTGATTTTAATTGTAATATGTTTATTGAATGATAATTTTATGATAAATAACAAGAATTT